TGATTTTAGGCCAAGGAAAACTGTAAGAAGAAGTGTTTTGGATGGCAGCTGCGGTCAAGAGCTTCAATGGGGCAACGAGCTTGGAAACCAAACAGATAACGTTTGCGAAAATGGAGGGAACGATAGAGGGTTAAGTAGGTTAGACGACGAGCAAGGTTTAAGCTTGATAACGCTTCTTTTGGAGTGTGCTGTTGCTATCTCTGTTGACAATCTTGGGGAAGCTCATAGAATGTTGCTTGAACTGACCCAGATGGCTTCTCCTTATGCTCTTTCTTGTGCTGAAAGGGTTGTCGCATATTTTGCTAAGTCCATGTCTAGTAGGGTTATTAACTCATGGTTAGGGATTTGCTCTCCTTTGATAAACTATAAAAGCGTTCATTGCGCCTTCCAAGCCTTCAACAATGTTTCTCCCTTTATCAAATTCGCTCACTTCACCTCCAACCAAGCCATCCTTGAGGCATTTCATCGACGCGATAGGGTTCACATCATAGACCTTGATATCATGCAAGGCTTGCAATGGCCGGCCCTATTTCATATCCTAGCCACGCGTATCGAAGGGCCTCCGTACGTCAGAATGACCGGCATGGGCAGTTCAATGGAGCTTCTGGTGGAAACAGGAAAACAACTTTCCAATTTTGCTAAACGCCTCGGAATGTCATTTGAATTCCACCCAATCGCAAAGAAATTTGGAGAAATTGAAATTACAATGGTACCGGTCCGGAGGGGAGAGACACTAGCCATTCACTGGCTACAACATTCACTATATGATGCCACGGGACCCGATTGGAAGATATTGAGGCTTTTTGAACAATTGGCTCCAAGTGTAATCACATTGGTTGAGCAAGATCTCTCCCATGGTGGATCTTTCTTGGACCGTTTTGTGGGCTCTCTCCACTATTACTCCACCATGTTCGATTCACTTGGAGCATATCTGCCAGCCGATGACCCTAGCAGGCACCACATCGAGCATTGCCTTTTGCATAAGGAAATTAACAATATATTGGCAATAGGAGGCCCTGCAAGAAGTGGGGAGGACAAATTCAAGCACTGGAGAAATGAACTTGCAAGGAATTGTTTTTTACAGGTGCCAATGAGCAACAACTCCATGGCTCAGGCACAACTAATATTGAACATGTTCCCTCCTGCTCATGGGTATAGCCTTGTACAAGGAGACGGAACACTTAGGCTTGGATGGAAAGATACCAGCTTGTTTACTGCTTCTGCTTGGACATCACATGCCTCTACATAGCTGCATAATGCTCATGTTTTTTTCTCCTTTGTAATTTTTTTTTCCTCCCATCTCTCTTTTTGACCTACTGAACAACTGGGCAAGTATAATATACACTAGAACTAGATTCGATTTTCTCATCCTTGTTTCATAATTCAATCTTTGCATATCATTCTGACAACATTCTAATTTTTAAATATCTATAATTCAAGTTTCAACTAATGACAGTGCGGTGGAAATTCATTCTTCCCTCAATACAACCCGTTTGGGCGCCAAAACGACATTTACACTTGAAGTTATGCATGAATCGATAGGAAGATAATCTTTCTGTACTCTTTCCCAGATCACAACGCAAAAGGAGAAATTGCAGTAAAATTTTAAAGCTTCAGTTATTGTTTTTATTAATAATCCAACATTATTCTTGCAAGCGCAGTTATCTAATGGCGAAGACACATCTCCACTCTCTCAATTATTAGGATTCTCTCAGTTGGGCTTTGAAATGGAGGTCAAGCATTTAGAGCTAGTTTGGAAGCAAACGCACCCCAGTGCGATTGCTTTTCGCATGAAAAACTGTGTAAATGCACGAAAATGCCATTTGGATTCAATGTCCGCTGAAATTAACAGCATTTTTTCACTGGAGTTTTTAGATGCAGTCAAGAACGCACCATTTTATTTTGAGCGCTGCTACTTGTAATTCAATAATTACTTAATACATCCTCTTACTTTTAATACTTTTTTTTTTTCGCTTAACACACTTCATATTTAAAATATAAATTTACGAAAAATCCAAACATCTTATCTCCTTTTTTCTCACACCTCATCTAATCTCTCTTTCTTTTCAACCGAAAATTTAAAGGATTTTAAGCCCCAATCAAACCAAATTCAAAAATTTTTTTATCAATTTGAAGTTAAAAAATATAAAATCAAGACAAATTATTTTTTTTTATATTTTTTGTTTGATTTCACATTTAATTTAGTAAGATTTCATGATCAAATATTTAGATTTGATTTAAAACTTTCAAAAATTGATTTCTAAAATTTCTTAAAGATTTTTCAAAAATAAATGTTCGAAAACTATTAAAAACTTTTAAAAATTCATTTACAAATGTTCTTAAAGGTGTTCGCATATTTATTTTCAAAAATCTTTAAAATCGTCCTAAAATTGATTTCCAAAAAGGGTATGAAAGAGAAAATTGTTATTAAATAATAAATATTTAAGTAATTTTATTAAAACTTAAAAAATTAGGGTGTATTGAGAAAAAACTGGGATGGGTACTTTGTTTCTTTTTACATTTTTATCCTTTAATTATATTATAAAGACAAAACTATCCTAACATTTTAATTTTTTTATTTTAATTTTTATTTTAAAATTTTAAAATAATTTTATTAATTTTAAAGAAATAATTTAGTTAATCTAATATAATAAAAAATATTATTTAATATATTATTATTTTTAATTTTTTATTAATAAATTATTATTTGATATAAAATAATTTATTTAATAAAATTTTAATAATTTATTAATTTTATGAAATATTAAATAATTTAAAATTTTATTACATATAATTTTTTAATTTAATAATTTTAATGATTATTTTTTATCATTTTATAATTTATATTATTATGTTTGCATCCAAATATATATTTCTATCATTAATCTTAATCTCAATATTACAATAATCAATCTCATCTTTATTATTATTTTTAATTTTATTAAAATTAATCTCACCATCTATCCCAAATAAATTTTTAGTGAATGATCAATGGGGTACCGTTTGGATCATTTCTGTGTTTCAGAATTGAGAAAACACATGCCCTCTGCCTAACATATAACTGAGTTTTTGCGACACAAAAATGGTGTTCAACCAACACAAAACATACCATTTTGCCTCTGATCAGGACTCGTGTGATGCATGCTTGGGGGTTTAGCAGCTTTATGTTTGTTTTGCATGTTGATTACTTAATGTCCACTAATTGGCTAATTAGCCAAATTGCAAAACTTTGTTTACTTATTTATGATTGCCGACTGAGCACCGGCAAACTGCATTATATTCTACTCACATGGAGATGCTTCAAGTTTTGGGGCCAAACACTTGGAGACAAATGCCTGCCTATAAATTACAGTATACATATAATAAAAAAAATAGAGAAAGAAAGACAGAAAAAGAAAATGGAGTTTAGTCTAAATAAATATTATATTATATTTAATGTATTACCTATTAATTGAATAATTGAGTAAATTTTTTAAAAATATTACTTTTTTTATATTTTTTTTAAAAATTAATATTTATTCATTAATAAAGTAATATAATCTGATTTATTATCAATTTATAAAATTTATACACTGATAATGTATCAAATATAAACTTTAAATATTAATTTTTTTAAAAAGGTAAATTTTTATAAAGTTATGATCTGTTACATTTTTTTTCTCTATGTTTTCTAAACTTTAGCCTTTTTTAAAAACAAACAAATAAAGGGGAAAATACAAATAAATCCATCAATTAATCTGAGAAAAAAGAAGATCAAGATTTGAATGTGTATTTATATGACATTTCTATCATTTGGTTAATTAGTTAATTTTTTTTATTAAAGATAAAACAAATAACTCGTTAAAACCATAATAATTTTAACAAATGAAAACGGGTTAAATCTTGAAAATGTAAAAAAAAAAAATTCTGAGTTAATTTTATGTCTTTCTAAGCCTTGACTCACTAATTACATATAACTTTTGTATACAAGTAAGTAAGATGCATGATTCTAGCTACTACAATCGAACCTAACAACATATTTTGTCTTATGCATCTTCTTCAAAGTTTGAACATACACGGAAATTAGGCCACAGCCCCCACCTAGCTAGCTTAAGACCGAAAACCAAAATCCCCAAAGACCAAACTGAAAAATTGAAAAACAAGACAAGTATATTCCGAAGGAAACAAACTATTCCATAATTAAGAAAATTTCAGCATATTTATTTCAAAAATAATTCTCACGTCATACACTAACGAGGAACATGACCCCATGTGGACTGACTGGGTCAAAATTTTCAACTCCTTTCACTTTCCTAGTTTTACCAGCTCATGCTAACTTTCTTAATTTTTTTTTAAAATATAACGACTGCTCATATAATTTTATTTTAAATAATTCAAACTCAAATAATATTAATTTTTTAATAAAAATGACAATAAACAAAATTATTAAAATTTTAAATTAAAATAAATGTATAATATTTTTATATTTAAAATTATTAAAATTTTAATTTTAATAATTTAAATTAAAAATATAACATTTTATCAGCACACGCGCATGTTAATATATATGTAATATTTCATATCTAGTAAAAATAATAATGTAATCAAAGTTAATCACAATTAAAGATAATTAATAAAGTTTAAATTTAAAACCAACTTATATCGAGTAAATTTCTTGTTAATAAAAAAAAAACTACTATTGTTTTATTGTTATGAATTGAAAAGAAAGAAAAAGAGATAAAGCGTTGAAGAAGTTGGAAAAAAAAAAAAAAGAAAAATCAATATGTCAAGAGAGATAAGGGAAAGTGCAACAAGAAGTTAAAAATAAAATATTAAAAAAAAAAAAAAAGCTTGATAGTTGAAAGAGTAAGTGAGAAGTTCAGACTCGGACAACCCAAACGTGTTTGGTCAGGCGGCAGTTTGAGAAGGTACCGCTTAATCCCTCGTGTCTTTTTTTTTTTAATTAAAAAAACTGGATTTTTTTTTTCAATTAAAAGAAAAAAAAAACAAAAAAGAAATCACCTGTTTCTTTCCTTTTTCCTCTTATCCTCCTCATTTCACTCTTTTTCTCTCTACTTTCTGTCATTCTTTCCTCATTCACAAACACCTGAAAACTACTATTTCTTTTCTATTTTAATAATCCAAAAAAAAAAAAACAGTTTTTTTGTTTCACATGATTTATGTATTGGGCCATTTCAGATTTTTCAACCGTTATTTTTCATTTGATTAAAATTGGAGGTTTGGTTTTGCCAGTTGATTCCTCTTCTTCTAAGGTCAATGTAGCTGGGTTTTTCTCCAAAATTAGGGTTTTCGTTTCAAGTTTTTGGGATTTTGATATCAAACTATGTAGTTGAAGAAGCTGGAGCCTTTCTAATAATTATAATAATAAAATCCTCTTTTTACCTTTCCTGGGCTTATATTGAAATCTCCAATTTTTTTTCTTTGTTTCTTAGCTTTATTCTTCCTAGGATTTCCTTTCTTCTTCTTTTGGTCAAAGGCTTATACTTTTTTTATTTGATGCTTTTATCTGTGCTGATTATTGAAAAAACTTCAGATTTGCTTTCTTTTCATTAGCTGGTCTTATGGGGGCTCGGAGTTTTAAATTTGGTAAATCCTTTGAGTTTTGAGGGCGTATTGAATTAGAGGGCAATAAATGCTGAATTTGACACAAATCCGAGTGAAAATAGCTTAAACTAAGCTCTTTGGGATATTCGGTATTATCATTGAAGACAGTAGTTTTTTTTTTTTTTTGCTTGAGAATGGATCATGTGATTGGTGGTAAGTTCAAGCTTGGAAGAAAGATTGGCAGTGGTTCTTTTGGAGAACTCTATTTTGGTATACCAATCCAAATCTCTTTGATTGCTTTCTCTTTCTTTTTATGGAAAATGTCTTTTTTCTTTGTCAGCATTGTGCCTTTTTCTGATTTTTTTTTTCCTGTTGAAGGGGTAAATGTGCAAACTGGAGAGGAAGTTGCTGTCAAACTGGTATGTGAGCTTTTCTTGAGGATGTGTATTTTGGTTTTCTCTTTTGTTGGTATGCTGATGGACTGGATTCTAGACGTGGTTGTCAATTGGTAATAATGATTTTTGGGTACTTGAATACCAATAAATAAAGCTATCTTTATTTGTTATATTCTTGCTTTCGTGGTTATTTTCACCACATTTATTTGTAGTCTCTTGTCTCTCTCTAAGAAGCAAAAAGAAATGGCAGTCATTCTTGCTTATCTTTTTCTGTTCTTTAAGTATTACTAACCTTTGGACTTTCAATTGCATTACATTTTGGACATTGACGAAAAAAATTATCAGAGATAGGTTCTTTTAGTCATTGCATTTTTTCTTAAAAGGAAAAACTGTTTTTGCAAATGCACTTCTTAATTTGTGTAAATAAAATTTTCCTAGCCAATGTTTCCATATCCAGCTATGTTCAACTTTATATGGTTCATCATTTAAGTATAAAGAGATAGAACATTTGTTATAGCATTTATTTCCAGTCTGAGAAGAAGAAAAGTGGTTACACAAATGAGAAATTGAAACCATGCTTCTCCGAGTAAAGGTGTTTCAAATTAATGCTTGAGTGTAATTTTGGAAGACAATTTTATTGACTTTGTATTTCCAACTTGCACTTTCTTTCCTTTTTTCTTTTCCTTTGAAATGAAGATGTTGTGGTGCTCCTTACATGTGAGAATGTGTCACTTTAGGTATGAATGTGAAGGGTATGAAAAAAATTCCTAATCATGGTATTCAATATTGATGAACGGTGATGGGCAAAAACATGTTTTTTATTTAATTGACATCTTATATTTTCTAACTTCAAAAGCAATGACCTTGACCTGATACCATTTTTTTTTTTTCTGTTCCTAATTTCAGGAATCTGTGAAGACAAAGCATCCACAGCTTCATTATGAGTCAAAATTGTATATGCTTCTTCAAGGAGGAAGTAAGTCTCTGTCTCCGCCTCCCCCCCCCCCCCCCCCCCTCTCTGTCTGTCTGTAAAAATGATTTGGTACTACATAATTTGACCATAGACTTCTCTGGGATAGCCTTTTCCACTGCACTATCATTACACGAGAAAAAACCATAGAGAAAAACATGCAAGCTCTAGTCTGATGGAAGCCAGTCATTTTCTTTGATTCACAACTTTATACTTCAGTCTTCATTCTAGTTGCGATTGGATTTGGTAGCTGCTGGTTTAGAAAGACGATAGCAGGTCTTCTTTTCTTTCCATAATTTTTGGACTATCAACTTAGTTTTTAAACAATTTGTTCTATAGGCAATTGCAAAACTTTCTCTGGACTTGCTGGTAGGTTCATGTTTTATCTTGAATACTAGCTTGCATTCTATATTTTGGATAAATTTTGAAAAAAACACATTATTTATCTTTAAATAACTTGGGTGCGTTCTCCTTGATATAGTGGGCATTCCCCACCTCAAATGGTTTGGAGTTGACGTGGATTACAATTTCATGGTAATTGACCTTCTTGGACCTAGTTTGGAAGATATGTTCAGCTACTGCAACAGGAAACTCTCATTAAAAACAGTGTTGATGCTTGCTGATCAAATGGTAAGTATATGGCTTTTTTGTGGTAAAGAATAAGTTTTCAGGTTTTTTCATATTAATTTTCCCCCTTTCCAACCTTTCTTTGTTTTTTCTTTCCAGATTAATAGAGTAGAATATATGCATTCAAGAGGTTTTCTTCACCGTGATATAAAGCCTGACAACTTCTTGATGGGCCTTGGACGAAAGGCAGATAAGGTATTAGTTATTGTGTTTTTCTTGTATGTATTGTCGGCAAATATAAATGCACATACTCATTAGACTGCTAGCACAATCACCTTCAATTTTGAATTTCTGGTTACGGTAAGAGTATTACTCCATTGCTGGGAATAGAAATTTGTTACACTTGAAAATTATGAAATATTGTGGTATCATTTTTTCTTTTTAATTTTGTTATCACAGGTATATATCATTGATTATGGTCTTGCAAAGAAGTATAGGGATCTTCAGACTCATAAGCACATCCCATACAGGTGATTATTTTTCTGTTGACTTCTTAATACAGAAATTCAAACTTGAAGATCTCAAGATTGTATAGTTCTCATCATAAAATGTTTTGTTGGGTTAAGATACTAGATAAGAAAGTTGCTTCATAGTCTACATACTTCTTTTCAGCTGGGTGTTTGCTTTTCATAGAGGCAAGGCATGTTGTCTTATCATTTTGTACAGTTTGAGGAAAATTATAGTGAAAGCTTCATCAGTCTTCTGAACTGAACTTTTGTAAATAAAGAAAACTCCAAAATTTGAGGCAATGCTCATATGTCGTGCTATCTTTTCTTTGGATGCCATTTTGTTAGGCATTCCACCATGCGCTGCTTCCTCAGTGCTGTGAGATCTGTCTGATATGATGAAATTGAATTTGATGCAGATAAAGGTCTCTTTTGTTTTATGTGACTTTTGAATGTGGGTGGTTTCTTATAGTCTTGATTTTTAATAGGTTTCATAGAGATTCCATATTGCTAGTCAATTTTACTCGTTTTCAATGTACTAATACTTGTTGGCCAAAAAAATGTACTAAATTGTTGTTGATGCTTATCCTACTTCTCTTTATGATTTAAAAATCCAGTCTGATTCTCTTTCTCTCTCTTGTCCGATTTTCTTTTTACTTTTATTTCCTATGTTTGTATTTGTTTCTGTATGATTACCTATGTGGTAAAGACATACCCAAGTATATGGTGCCAACCTTGTACCAATGCATTTGTTTTCAAAAACAACTCATCAAATTCTTTGCTGCAGAGAAAACAAGAACCTCACAGGCACAGCTCGTTATGCAAGTGTGAACACTCACCTTGGAGTTGGTGAGTGATGTTACTTAGTGACACGTTTCTGACTAGTAGCAGTAAATCATACATATATCTTAGATTCAAGTTTACTTTTCGTTACTTTTATTAACATAGATTCTTCTATTTTATTGGCAGAGCAAAGCCGAAGAGATGATTTAGAATCACTTGGTTATGTGCTTATGTATTTCCTCAGAGGAAGGTTGAGCATATAGTGCTACATGCTTGTTTCATTCAATGTTTTATGCATGTCCAGATGATGTTTGATTGTTACTTGTTAATGAATCTTCATTCTTAGTTTTCTTCCCATTCATTTTGATTCAATTTGCACAATTTCTTTGCTTCAGCCTTCCCTGGCAGGGGTTAAAAGCTGGCACAAAAAAGCAAAAGTATGATAAGATTAGTGAAAAGAAGGTATCAACTCCTATAGAGGTATAATCACTTATGCCATCCTTAGACAAATTGATTTCCTTTAAGAAATTTGGTTGAGTTACTAATCTGACTGATGTACGGGTTTCTAGTGCTTGCACACAGGCATGCTCTTCATCTGTATGTGGGCCAGGCCTGATCTTTGTATTCCCTCTGTCCCATTTTTATGGGATGTTTGATAAATACTATAAACCTTCTTAAGCAATTAGAATTCTGTGATGGCACATTGTTCCCCATGAATTGCTATTCCTACAAATGTTCTTGAAAGGAAAAGATTTTCTGTTTGTTTGAAGTAAGTTTAATATAAAAAAGGGGATGATTTAAGTCATTGACTTTTGTTATAGTGAAATTTAATTTGGCTTAATTAAAAATGGAAAGTGTGACGTTTAAATTTGACAAATTGAGTACAGCTGTTCAGGCTAAGTTATGGTCAACATTTGATCCTAAATTTCAGAGTTAATGCATCTTATGGTTATTACTCTAGTTTCCTTGTTCAGTAATATTGGTGTATGTGTGTTTAACAGGTGCTCTGTAAGTCCTTTCCATCTGAGTTTGTATCATATTTTCACTATTGCCGATCTTTGCGGTTTGAAGATAAACCAGATTATTCATATTTGAAGAGGCTTTTCCGAGACTTGTTTATAAGAGAAGGTTAGTTATCATCATTGTGGCTGCCTTAATAGTGATCTTTTCATGTATAATATTCTGTTATCTGTTTCTTTCTCACACACACAGACACGCACAGAGGCTGTTGTCAAATTAATTCTCCATGGACTGTGAAGTCAATTTTTTTTTTCTTTTTTCGGTTCTTAAATTGACATTGCTGCAGGTTATCAGTTTGACTATGTCTTTAACTGGACTGTATTGAAGTACCCACAGATTAGTGGCAGCTCCAGAGGGCAGGTAAGTACTTATAAACTTCGAGCTCTAAGTTACTGTCATCTTGGGATATTACTCAGCTCTTCCATCTGTTTCTCAGCATTCCAGTGGAAGAGCAGGTTTAGCTGCAGGACGAGCCATTGAAAGACCAGAAAAAATCCCAGGTCTGCTTTCTTTTAACAGAACTAGGTTTCTCATTAGGTAGTATAATCATACCTGATTGGAACTTAAATATTTGATACTCAACTAATTGGGTTATTAGATGGTCATTGTGTTATCCAAAAAATTGAGAAAATATAAAAGATGGCCATTTATGTAATGGTAAAACTCGTATAATGTGGATGAGGACAATCTTTTACAGTCTTCTTTGATAAAAAAATAAGTCTATTATGCTTTTAGTAATTATGATGTCGTACTAACCTCTCTGCTTTCCCTTCTGGGTTATTCCCCTGGAAAACAACATTCAGTGGGAAGAGACATTGGGGATAGATTCTCTGGTGCAGCTGAAGCATTTTCCAAAAGAAATATTTCAAGTAATAGTCCTTGTCGTGATCGCTCTAGACACAAGACTGCTGAGGACGTAACTTTCTCAAAGCAAGTGGTGAGCTTCAATTTCCATTCAAAGATTTTATACCATCTAGCCTATATTTTGTGTATGAAATTGTTTCTCTAAAAATGAAATCTTACTAACTGTAAAGGCCATTAGCCACCAATTCCCCTTTTAGCTGTATTATGGAAAACAGGAAAAGCTTTAGACCCACTTTTTGTCCTATTTATAAATTCAAAGTTAAATATGTCATCATATATACCTGTTTTACCATCCCTCTGATTGTTGCATACCCACTGGCATTTGCCTTGAACCCTGGATGAGAGTTAGGTAATCTTAATGGAGTCATACCAAATTCATTCCAACCTTCATTGCATTTTCAGTACTATTTATGATCAACAGAGATATAACAAACAACAAGTCTCTCATTTGCTTGGAGTTGTTACATTGCACCAGTATTTTTATGTCGTTTATTTATCATTTTGTTTAAGTCATACGTCTTACTTAGCATGACTCTTAAGAATGATTGGTCCTGCTTATTTGACTCATACATTTTACTCAGCATGACTATAGGAGTCCATCACGCCTATGTGACCGTTTCTTTTAATTGTTCTATTCATCTATTGCATTTTTTTAAAAAATTTTTTGCTCATTTCCAACATTCTGGTCGTTTGTTGGTTTGCAATTGCAGCACTTGGATTTGGATAAAGGATGCAGTTCTTCTCGATATGGTAGCACTTCAAGAAGAGCTGTAGTAGCAAGCAGGCCTAGTTCATCCGGTGAACCAAATTACGTTCCACAAAACCGACTAGTATCAAGTGGTGGTCGCACGTCTACCACTCAAAGAATCCAACTTGCCTTTGAGGACAAAACATCTAGTCGTGCCACTCCTCTCAGAGGAAGCCGTGATGATCATCCTTTTCGAAGTTTTGAGTTCCTCTCTATTAGAAAATGATGAGGTAATATATCAATTTTAGGCTGATGTTTTTAATAGCTTACAATCTCACTGCAGCTTTAATGCCACTACAGCACAAGTGACTTCCCTTTACCATATTGCGAATCCATTCTTTCCAAGTTTATGGCCATTGTATCATGTTGTAGACATCAAGAAAAGGGAATTCATGTATCGGAATTTTTTGTTATATTAATTTGAAAATAATGCAAAGACTCCTAATACTAGACTGAAAGAGTCATCTACTTTTCTTGTACCCAATACTGGTGTTGCTCCTCGACAGATGCTCTACAGCTACCTTCCTCTGCTAAGAAGAGAGACAGACCTGTACCAAGTTCGGATAGAGTAACCAATAATTTGTTTCTATTTTCCTCGCTTCGAGCAACAGTAGCAAATTTACACGAAAATCCATATCATCCCAAAGGTATCAAAGTTACATGATGGTATGAATTACCTTCTGGAAACATGAATAACAGCATCATATCTACCAAATAAAATTACAAACTAGCAGAGATGATTATTCTAGGGAATAACTCAAGATAATAATGAAGGAAAATTTTGGGGTTTTCTGTCCTCTGCTCATGGATTTCTAAGAGCTGCCAACCGCTTCTCAAGCTCATCAACACCCGAACTGCAGGAAGGAATAAAAAATTAGCAAACAAAGAAATAGTTCAATCTCTTTCAGGAAACAAATAGAAAAGGTGGTTTATGAGGCCCAAATTTTATAATATTAGGGTGATTCCAAAAAGAAAAACAGAGATTGCATGATAATAAGTCCCATATTATTGTAAAAAGCCGAAAACCATTGCCAAGTACAGATCCAATACCATGGACAACTAACGGAGGCCGTAGTAGAATATAGAGCACAAAGTTCAAATCTATGAGGAGGACCTTTGTAAAGTACGTGGGTCTCTACGCTGAAAAAATCATTCCAATCGAGAACAAAAGGGGAGAAGACAGAAGAATACCTGCCAACACCTTCAGTATTCTTTCCTGCAATCCTGCCTTTAGGAGCTGATGACAACTGCAAAAATTTACATGGAAATCAGACAGCTGCATAAAATAAGATATTGGCTCACAAGAAATCCTGAAATGAAGACGGGAAAAATGCAAAATACCAACCTGTGAGGCAACATCAACACCAATTTCATCTAGAATCTGAAGAAAAGAAAATTAAATAAAAAAAGGTTACTACCGGTTCTTTGTTTTGGAAGCTACAACAGTAAACAATGGATTTAACCTATTATCCTGCCCAAGAAAGCTTGTGCAAGCCCCACAGAAGCACCCAAAACCATCCATTCACCAGCTTTCTAATTTATCCCATCAGTCCCACACCCAAACCTTATGACCCAACACCTTTTTTTGCTCCCAAAAAAAAAGAAAAGGACGAATCACACCTGATTTGTTAGGTCCTCAGTCTCATCTTCAGCCTCATCATTGTCCAGGGCATCATCTATTGCATCTGACATCATATCAGTCTGCAAGCATGAATGCTAGACTGTTAAATTCCATGAATATGAACTAAAGACTCAAACATGAACTTTTTTCCACATTAATATATTTTAAAAAACAAGCATGATCTTACAGTCATATCCATCTCTGCAGACTGCTTCTGAAATTCCCGTATAACCTTTGCTTGTTTTGCAGGGGCCATTTGCTGCAAGAAAATCTTAGAGATCAGTAGTCTAAAAATCAAGGAATACTTTAAACGGGGAGATTGATTGTAATATCATGTGTTCAAGCAGATGTCCATAATACAAACATGTATATAGTGATATCAGGATGAATGTCTATATAAGAGATGGATATTGACCAACAGTTCATACCATAGCAAGCAACTTTCCCCACTAAAGCAAAAGAGAAACAATTTGGTAAACTGGTTACTGTGGACAAAGATGAATATGATTCATATCATCATGCATGTAAAAAGAAATTATATTATATATTATAATATTATTACTGACCTTATTCATAGCTGACATTGCCTTGGTGGCGCCCTTCATGCCAACAGCGGCTGAAGATTGAGCATGCATTGCCTATAAAAAAAAACAAGCATTACTATAAGCACAAGGTCAGCTGTGAGGCAACTACCTAGATGCAATAGCAGAGGGATGTGCACCTGCGTATGGGTTGCAATGCCTCTCATTTGTGCTCGACTACTTTGTAGCTTAGCTATCTGCTGCCTAAGCCTGACTAGCTGCCGGGCTAGAGCTTTAGTTGCAGCCTACACAGTGTATATGGGGTAAAGAAAAGGATACAAGTCAAACAGGTTTCATCATTCAAGGTAAATGAACTTGACACTCGAGTCTCTAGGAGAGACATAAATGCAATCAAGTTAAGATGCTAAAAATACCTCATTTCCGGTTTTAGCAGTTCTTTTGATTTCAGCAACAAGTCTCTTTTCCTGCCATTACGATAAATCACATTAGAACCACCCGTAAGAATCCTAAGAAAGACTATCACCGATTGGTACTTGGACGCACCTCTAATTGCAGGGTTCCAATTTCCCTCTCTATACCTGAAGCAAGGCCAAAAGTATACCTGAGTTTCACATTAAAAGTAATGCTACAAAAATAAATATACATATAAATAAATAAATACTGCAAGAATAATACGAAGAGAACACAACAGTCCATTCAATAAAAAAAAAATCTTTAAATTAACTGATACAGAAACATAATCATCAATCATATGACTTTGTAAATGCAAAAAAAAAAAAAAAAAAGAGAAGGCCAAGTTGTAGAGAAAATAATCAAATATTACCTCTAGTAGCATGCCCCATTTCTCTCTTACTCTCACGAAGAGCCTCTGCGAACCCCAAAAAAACAAAAATAATGTAAAAGAATTGAAGTAACAAACTAAGAAACCATGATCATTAAGCTTTGACAAGTCAACGCGAATTGTGAACGAAGAGAAAAAATAAATTGCCAGAAACATGAAATTTTTTATTGTTCCAAAGCATGAACATTGAATTGAAGATAATTCAATTAAAACAGATATCCAGAAAAAAGAATAAAGTTTGATCAGAAGTCAAGAGATTAATAGGCTAAAGAAAATGGGGATTGCTGGGTTGTATGATTAGGGCACAAAAATTTCGGAATTAAATTACCTTTGGGATTGGGTTTTTTGCTGAAGATGTTCATTTGCCTTCTTTTTTTTTTTTTTTCCTGTGTTTGGTGCTTTCAAATGACCTTTTCAGCAGCTAGAGGCTTTGATTTTGATTCTGAAGATATCTTAAAAGGTAAGGGTTCGAAAGGCCAAAAAATTAAAAAAAGCGTGTTTGGCTAATTGGCTCGAAGTCACCCGGAATTTTGCGGGCTTTTTCTTGTTATTATTAGATATACATTTAGTTAATGGACTAATTACAAATCTGGAGCTTCAACTCCATGTAAATAACTAAAACTTATCTGTATTTTTAAAACTTTCAATGGAGTCCTTTATGTTCTCTTAATTTTGAATTAAAACCTGAATATTTTGACCATTTTGAATTTGACCAAAAGAGGGAGCGAAAAAGACCTAAACCAAGAAATATATATAGGTAGTATTTGATTATTTCAAAAATTATGATAATTTATATATATGATGATTAAATTATTACATTTATTAAGTATTTGGTTATTGTGATTTTACATAACAATGATCTTGATTATCGAAAGTAATTAAATAATTATTTTGTAGGATAATTTATATTTTATATAAAATAATAAAAAATTTTATCATCGAAATAAAATGATATATAAAATTAATAATAATAATTTTATTCAATATTTATTAATATGTAAATTAAAAATTTATTGCATCTTAAAATTATAATTATCTTATATTATATGTAATTATAATTTCAAACTAAAAATCATTATAACAAGTTCAAAATAATTTACATATTTTTTACTTTTTTTAATATTTTATATATAATATAATTTTTATTATAAATTTATTAGATTGGTTTTATTTTCTAATTCATTTATTTTTAATATAATTAAGTTATAAAATAAATTTACTTATCAATAAATATATTTAATAATTGAATAATTTAATTATATTTATTATAAACTAAATAAATATTACTAATATTTTACAAATTATGATCTTTAAATAATCATAAAATTATGAATTTTTATAAATATTACAATATACATTATTATTTTCATACTTTAAAACAAAATAATGTTAATTTTTAATAATATAAATTACAATAATCTTTAATTTTTAAAAATTAATCATTTTTAACAAAATAAAATAATTTGAAATCACAAATATTAAAATTACTTTAGTAATAAAATCACTCCGCTAATTACATTATCATGATAATCTTACAAAAGATATCAAATATTACTATATAATAAAATTACATGAAAAATTATCTTATTTGCTGTCAGAAAATATTTTAAATTTCACAAGTTAATAAAATAATGTATATTTTTTAAATATATTAAAATTTTAATTAAAAAAATATGCAATAATTTTTTAACCCGATTTAAAATAAAAATATTACATTGCATAAGAAACAAATCCTAAATACATTACCATGATTAAATGGATAATAATTATCAAGTGTGAAAATCCCTGAATTGCAAATTCAACCATTCATAGTAGCAAACACGATTTATATCCACATTACAATGAAGGAAAGTTCTTTTAGATTTCAAAGTTTCCTAGGCATTCACAGTCTGACAAATTACTTTTTTCATTTAATTAATAAAGTTTAATTAAAAAAAAAACAGTAATAAGATTTTTTTTTTTTGAAAGTAATAAGTTACATTTAATAAAGCATCACACTCACAATTTATACTTTTTTTTTTAATTTAAAAAAATGTGTATGACAAATTTCTTTAGTTATATTATATGATAATAATAAGATGCATTTTTTTTAATATTGGTTTAATAATGTAATAACATTGATTATTTATATTATCAAAATAATAAATTTAAACGAGTGATTGGTTTAGTGCTGGATGTATGATTCTTTGTTAAAAACAATATTCAAATCCTCTATTTCTCAAATAACAAATAAATAATAAATTGTTTCATTTCTATACTTTAAAAAATCACTAATTAACCTCTACTTTTGTTTAAAGTTGCCATCTATAACAAAACTATCAAGCAAAATATATATATATATATATATCTAGAATATTACACAAAGAAACTAAAAAAAAAACAAAAAAAAAAGTACACGAGTAAATCATAATATCATCATATTAGTATTTGGCAAGTGAGAAAATATGTAATTGGAAATAATTAGCTAGTAGCAATATCAATTATTTCCAAATTTTGGTTTCTCAATTCTTAACATTTAACATATTTATTCAAATTCGATTAATTTAAACTTTAAATTTTATTCAAATATATTCAACTTATTAAATAATATAATAAAAGTTTATCCAAATAAACTTTAAAAAATGAAAATATGATATTCTTTATTTAATTTTCAATATTATATTTTATTAAGATTAAAAATATAAATGATTTAATATATTGTCTAATGTTATTTTTATAATATAAATTAAATAATATGTAAATATAAAAATTAAATATTATAATTTCAATTAGATTGAACCTTAAGTTTTGGAGTCAATGCTTGATATGTTTTTGAATGAATTTTACTTTTTTTCAAATCTTCTCAAATATAGAATGAATTTTTAGATTAAGACAGATAATTTGATCTTTAAACAATTATAATCCTTTTGTTTTTATTTATCTTTTTATGTCTTAAAATGATTAATTAAATATTTTTTTATATTATACATTAATATTTTTTAAAAATTGAACTTAAATATTAAATATAGAAAATAATAAAAAAAAAGTTTAAACAGAGAAACAAAAAATTTGGAACCGACTGAGCATTATTAACCAAAGAAAAAAATGGCGTAGATGAATAGAGAAGGAAATCCAACGGTGAAGCATAATTTTAAATTTACAATAAATATTTTTAAAAATAATTACGTGAGAAATGCGGATAAGGATTACGATTATGACTTTTTGTCAAACCAATTAGACAGTATAAATACGTATCCATATTTTTCCTACAATAACACTGAAACACCCAACTCCACGCGCTACTCTCCGCTCCTCTCCTCCTATCTTTTCTTTCCCTCTTCCTCAGCCTGCGGTTTCCTTTTCCTTTTCCTTTTTGTCTCTCCACTCCCTTTCTAAGAAAAAACCAATAGTAATAATAATAGTAAAAAAAATCTCTGAATTCTCTCTCTTTTTTTTTTTCCTTCCTTAAGAAAAAATCATTCCCAAAACCCTGCTTTTGACTCAAAAAATTCACCTCCAAAACTCTTTATCTCCTTCGTCTTTTTTTTTTTTTCCTAACCGAAAGCAAGGGAAAAGTGTTCGAGGAAAGTGATTTCTCGGTATTTTTTTTAAGCCAAACAAGTTAAATTTTATTTCGAGAAGCTTTTGAGGATTTGGTATTTCGATTTTTTTTTTTGCTTCAATTTCGTAGCTCGACAGTTAGGGTTTTGGGGGAACGGCGTGCTTTATTTACTTCGGGTGAAGAAAAAGATTGTACAGTCTTTTTCCTTGACATTTTGCAGTAAAATTTTTCTAACTATTTCCACAGTATCATCAATTCACCTTAGAATTCCGAAGCGCATTTATTTATTTATTTATTTATTTATTGTCGTTTGGTTAGAGAAATCTCGAAAGTGAAGTGGCGTTGGTTTCTTTTGACTGTTGCATTTGAAGAATTGAAAGAATTAGGGTTTTAGAGTGTTGAATTTTTTTACCGTAGTTGATAAGGTAGGCGAGATGTCGTTATCTATAAAAATGGAAATTGATACATTGGAGGATGTTACTTGTTTGGACCCCGAGCTATTGCAGCTTCCTGAAGTGTCACCATTTGCACTAAAAACCAGCCCTCAACTTGTCGAGGACTTGTTCTCTCAGTGGCTTTCGCTTCCGGAAACCGGCCATCTGGTACTTCTTTTTTAATCAAACTATTGCTATCATTAATTTGCTAGTATTTGTTTAATAATTTGTATGGATTAGATTTTCTGTTCAACTTTAATGTCTACTGCTGCTAATTGTTGTCACTTGAAAGTTATTTTATTTTGAAGTTGACGCAAATTTTTAATATAATAATGATGTTTTTGAAGCAAACTGATGATGCAAACCTTATGATTAGTGTAGGTTTCAATGAATGGATGGTCAAAACCAAATAAAAACCATATGAAAAAACTGGTTATTTCAAGGAAGCGACATATGTAACTTGAACATTAAAATGAAAACAAAAAATTAGCTTTGTATTAATAGTACTATAGTACTATGCCATACTAATGGTACTTTACCACACTGTATGTGGGATAAGGACTTACCGTTGTTGATGATGTCGCTGTGGTTTACAACTGTGAACTGAGGGGAGCAAATTGGTGCTAACATAGATTCATTGCAATAAAGGACAAATGCTATGATTGTCTGACTCAAAATCATAGTGTAGCTTATTTGGTGGTTTCATGCTAGTAAATGTTTGTTTGATTTTCACCATGTTAATGTTGTGGTGGATGCTACAATGGAAAGTGCACAGAACAGTTCTATGGTATTATCTTGTTTTAGTAATTTTCAGTGAAAATTGTTATTTTGTTTTGCACCAAGATGGTTATGGAGATGTATCACAATCTTGCTGGTTGGAATTTCACTCTAGGGTGACCTAGGATGCGGAAAACTAATAGGATGAGTTATGCAGGCGATGAACTACCATAAGATGTTAGTGAGTTCTCATTAATAGGTTAAGCGAGACATGTCTATTTGCATGGTATGCTATAGACATAAGGATGTCTGCGTTATTTGCCTAAGTTGGATGTGTTGTGTTCGATTTTCTTTTGTGGTTGTAATCTTCATTATTGAACGTCAATTATATTTAGAGCTTGATGTGTCAATCCAACTCGTACCTCTATCCATCCTTTGTTTCAAGGAAAAAAAGGGGGGGGGGGCGGTTCAAGACTGCATGTATTACCTGTAAATTTATGGTAGAAATTTGTAACATTTTGTGATATGAGTTTGTAAATGACTGTGATAGGAATATTTTCTACTTTCCTAATGATTGAATTTGATATAATATGACACTGGCAATTCAGAAACTTTTCTGCATTTAGATTCATTTTCGTTTCTGGTTGCCAGATTTTCTCCATACTAAAGATTTATCCCAATCAATATATTGGATTTAATGTCATGCAACAAGCTTTTATTTCTCCCTTTTTTAAAATTGAGCACAGGTGAAATCTTTGATTGATGATGCAAAGGCAGGGACCACTGTTAATGCCTCTGCAAACTTTTTTAATGTAAATGTGGTTGGGAGCAATTCATTGCCTTCCATGTTTCCCACTGGCAATGCACCTCCACTTTCTCCAAGAAGCTCATCTGTTTCTCCTCGCACATCAAAGCAGAAGTCCAGCGCATCAGCTCTTGGCTCTCCGTTGAAAGTAGTTAGTGAACCAATGCAAGAAGTCATTCCACAGGTTTGATTTGCTATTGAAGGTCCTCTTCTGGGCTTTTGTTATATTTGAAAGCTATTTTAGATTGGAAATGTCGGTTTTAGGTTTTAATACCTTAAATTGTTGAAAAGTACTTATAAAGTTGTTTATCCGATAATTGCTTGCAGTTTTATTTCCAAAATGGTCGTCCACCAACAAAGGAATTGAAAGAACAATGGCTTTCTAAAATTAATCACCTTTTTAATAATCCTTTAAACGGATTGCAAATAGATGGTGAGATATATATTTGATCTTTATGTCTTCATTTTATATTTTAAGTTGTTTTTTCCCCTTCACACATCCCTGTCTTCTGGTGATCGAGGGTGAGACTGTCCCCATGAAACTTCAAAAGAATTAATTCATTTTCTTTGGTTGTACAGAGTTTAAAACAGTGACGAAGGAAGTTTGCAAGCTACCATCTTTCCTCTCTTCTGCACTTTTTAGAAAGATAGATGTACACTGTGCCGGAATAGTGACCAGGTATCTGCTCATGCATCTTTATAAATGAATAGACGTTTCATGTGAAGGAATTACTCTGATTGTTTAAATATGGTCTGTTGAAAGAACTTGTTAGACGGTGTTGACTGCTTCTATTATACATTCTTAAGTTTATCATTTGACTTCAGAGATGCTTTCATTAAGTATTGGGTTGATGGCAATATGCTGACGATGGATGTAGAAACTCAAATATTTGAAATTCTTAAGCGCCCAGGCTGCAAGCACCTCACTCAGGTTTGTTTTGCCTTCCACCCCACTCAGGTTTTCTTTTCGTGTTTGTTTTGAACAAATTATCTTGTTTATCAGTTGTTCTTCTCTTAAAATTATCCTTTTGAACTTTGAAGGCCTAAAGTTTTATGTATTTTATACATTTCTTCATAAGATCATTTGGGACTTGGATGCAGGTTGACTTCAAACCTGTTCTTCGAGAACTTTTGGCAACCCATCCAGGGTTAGAATTCCTGCGAAACACACCTGAATTTCAAGATAGATATGGTATGTATTTCATTAGTGGTCAGTTTTTTTAATAAATGACTATCAAGCAGTGAACTTTATTTCCTGTTTTTATGTATATATATATATATATTTTTTTAAATATGTGCAAGCTACATTGATATTTGAATATGCAATCTACTAGTGAGTTTGACTTTAGTGCTATCCCATGGATTGATTCAATCTCAATGATGGTGATGTGGACTAGTGCACATCATAAGCTCATAATTTAGCAGGAATTGTATGCATGGTACATGGCATATAGTGTTACCCTGTTGATGCGTTGGTTCTTTTTTCTTATTTAGAAGAAATAATGACTAAATTTTGCTAGATGTCAATGGATATTCTGAATTACTCAGGTTGAAATTACTAATATCTTTTGAATCTAACCCTAATTCTTGCCCTTGTGGGATAGATGTTTAGTCAGAACATAATTTGATTGTTTGAACACCAGCCAATTCCATCCATTCTGATTTTAGCCTGCAGGCTGAATTTGTCCCTGCTCGATCAAGAAGTGGCATGAATGTGGTGGATCTTGAGCCTCATGATAAAATGTAAATACAGATCAGTTACCAAATGAGAAATGTTTAGTAGGTGAAAAGTTGCATAAAACTCTCGATTTATCTAACTCAATAACGCAATTCCTTGAGTATAATTAATAAATAATGCATAAAGACCATAACTGGTTCTTTTAGGAATTGTACGTATCTATAACTTGCTTGCCTAAAATCATTTGATGGAATAAGCTAACTCTAAGGCTTTCTCAAAGGAAGCTGGCTTGTCTCACGTAAATAGGATACCCTGCTGTAACCTGTCTTGCTTGGAGAAGGCTTGCAACAGGCCCTTTCCACTCCCTTCATAATGCATAAAGTACCATAACTGGTTCTTTTAGGAATTGTATGTAGTGTTTATAGAATAGTTGTGTAATTATGGGCTATGTAAACAAAGATTCTAAAGATGGGCATAATTGTGCTTGATTCTTAAGACTGAATGTCTGCTTGAATTTTTACCAAATGATTTGAAATTAGAAGAAAAAAGGCCTTTTTTTTGGGGGGGGGGGGGGGGTTTCAGTCCCTCTGTAATCAAGTTGAAAAAGATGCTTCAAAAAGAGTTGATTGATTGTTATAGTTATTTTAGGGGGTACCATGGATCGTTTCCTTTATCTATTTTTTTTGTTTCTCCAATCATTGGACATTCAATAGTGCATAACTAATTCTGGACAATATAAATTTTGTGTTAATGTTCCAGCTGAAACTGTCATATACAGAATATTTTACCACAACAATAGATCGGGAAATGGGCGTCTTACCCTCAGGGAGCTCAAACGTGGAAATCTGCTTGCTGCCATGCAACATGCAGATGAGGAAGAGGACATTAACAAAGTCCTTAGGTTAGCATCTGGGTGGACTCTTTTAGAATATACATTGCTTTAAATTCTAACACTAAACAGTAAATTATGTAAACTTGGACTTCTGTATCTCTCTCTACTGTTTTATTTGGTTGGTAAAAGCATGGAAGTACTTCATCTTTTTCTCTTCTGAATGGTCAAACAATTGAACATAGCTGAGAGCTTGGGTTTATTAAATTTTTGCGTCATGAATTACAAATGCTTCCTCTTTTAGGTACTTCTCATATGAACACTTTTATGTTATATACTGTAAGTTTTGGGAGTTGGATACGGACCACGATTTCTTCATCGACAGAGAAAACCTTATCAGATATGGCAATCATGCCCTTACCTACAGGATTGTTGATAGAATATTTTCTCAGGTTGGTTGTCTTGGTCCTCAATTCTCAAAACTTCTGAATCAGTTAGTTTCTATTTTCAAGCACAATAAACCTTCTCCTATATATGAGGTTTATGTTGGCTGTGAATGCATGAATTCCATCTCAGGCTCCTCGGAAGTTTACTAGTGAAGTAGAAGGGAAGATGGGTTATGAAGACTTTGTTTATTTCATGCTCTCAGAGGAGGACAAATCATCTGAGCCTAGTCTTGAATATTGGTATATTTTATTTGGTTTTACCTTTCCTTTTCCAAAAGGGATTACATTTACTGTACATCATTTTGCTTATTTGAAGCAAGTTGATTCTTGCTGTACATAAATTTTCAACTCAAGTGACCCTACCCCTCCTGATATTCGTTGGTTGCCATTTGGAAGTTTTATATTATTTTATCACTTGTCTTGCAAAATTTCCTTTTATTCATCAATATCAAAACCTTGACAAACTTTCAGAGCATTGAGCAATGAACACTATTTATCCTTATGAAAATGCAGGTGAAGCTAGAAAAGTTACATGTTTTTTCTTCAATAAGATAAAAATGCACATGGTGCAGTACACTATCCCTTATGTCAACAAATGATAAAGGTTCTGTTGATGCTTTATGACATCTTAAGCATGATGGTGTATTGAAACTGTGGTGTATAATTTTCTGTACATAGTTTGAGAATGCTTTAAAAGTAAGAAGGTGGAGGGGGGGGAGGGTGATCAGTAATAAAGTAAAATGTGCATGCTATATTCAAAGAATATTAGCATTATTGTTATGTACTTGTCTGCCAAAAATGGTGCATTACTTTGCATTCAACATTCCTTGCTTTTATTTGTTGAACAGAAATCTTGTAGGATAATCCTCTTTTGTGCCTTATATCAAGGCTTTTCCCCTTGTCTACTAGCTTAGCTTTTCTTGTCTGATTAGCTATTTTTACAGGTTCAAGTGCATAGATTTGGATGGAAATGGTGTGCTCACGCCAAATGAAATGCAATTTTTCTATGAGGAGCAGCTGCATCGAATGAAATGCATGGCCCAAGAATCCGTGCTCTTTGAGGACATATTGTGTCAAATAATTGACATGATTGCACCTGAGGTTCAAGCTACTTGCTTTCTAGTACCTATGGTTTCATTTTATTTGCTTGTTTCACGTGAAGCTGGTTTAACTTGCTGATATTTTGCAGAGAGAAGATTGCATCATGCTACGGGACTTGAAAGGGTGCAAACTTTCAGGAAATGTTTTTAACATCCTTTTCAATCTTAATAAGTTTATGGCATTCGAAACCCGTGATCCATTCCTAATTCGGCAGGTTAGTGATTGCACAATTAGATATTGGGTGCTGAATGGATGCTAGTTTAGTTCTCTGGAATGATAATAGCCTGCTTGGATTTTTTTGTGTGAACAGGAACGCGAGGATCCAACTTTGACAGAGTGGGATCGCTTTGCGCATAGGGAGTATATCAGGCTTTCAATGGAAGAAGATGTCGAAGACGCCTCAAATGGAAGTGCTGAAGTATGGGATGAGTCCCTTGAAGCTCCATTTTAAGGTTCCTGAGATGAGTTTTGTAGGACCTTGTCAAACATACTTGAGGTCAATGAAGAAAGACTGGCTACATGGAGATACTGCAGATGCTGCTCATCGGCAAAGTTGATCAGCCAAAATATCAAGTTGGGTCATATAGCATTTACGCTCATATTTCACCAGCAGTCTATTTGCTAGCCTTTTTGCATACTGCGTTGCACTTAAGTTTGGCAATGAAATTTCTCCAGTAGGGAAAGCCAATTGCTTCTTTCGAAAGGGATGATCCCTGCCTTAACTAAACATCATCCAGGTATCAACAGTGTGCTACTGTGTTAAAGGTCTTTGTTTTATTAATTAGTTAGACAACCATTTGCTGTTATCAGTGCCTCCGTTTGGGGGGAGGCGTATACGGGATTAGGTGTAGTGGCCAAACCGAATCCTTCCCCTTCACTGCCTTTGCTTCCCTTCGGCTCTTCCTTTTTTTCACTTCTGCTCCTCTTTCCTTTTTCTCAGTCTGTACATGTACATTTTTTTTGTTGGATTCAGTGGAAAACAAAGGGTAAAAAACAGTAAGGAACTGGAATTTCAGCATCATGTAAACGGTGTATTCTTTTGTTCTTCCCCGTGATAACTTGGTACTGGTTTCCCTGCACTAGTTTCTTTCTCAGGAATAATTATGAAAAACATCACTTCGGTGGGCTAGGATTTTCTATTTCTAGGGTGATTGTTGAAAATCGTTGCATAGGGTCATTAAAGGCTCACATTGACGAGGTTCCTTCACCAGTGAAATCAATATATATTAGCATTTCGATTTGATTGTGGAAGCTCTCGAGGTTTACTCACCCAAAAGATAATGAAGAACTGAATGAAACACACGAATGGACCTTTCTCGATAACTAATTGCTCGATGTCCATGGCCTTTCATGGAGAATAAATATTTCCGATTAGTTGACGAGTCATAACAATAACAATGATGCAAAAATAAAGTCCGTAGGTTTGAAATTGGTAAATTGATGAAATCAAAATTGAGGAGCCAACGAATAAAAACTGGAAATGTATAACAAGATTGAAAGGCTTCAGTAGAAAGTTTAGGCGGCAGTCTCCTTTTTAAGTTTCGCCAGCTCTTGCCTTACAATTTCCGCCCTCTGAAGTACAAATGCAAATGCCGAGTATCAGTCACGACGGTTAAAAAGGAAGGCAACAATTTATGCCACAGATCTAAGAGTTGAAAACAAATTTTTACAAATAAGGAGGTGTATCTGAGTGCTATACACACCAACGGGGAAAAATTCACTTCAAGAGCTAAAGATTTTATGCCTTGATTGTCCCCGAAAAGATTCCAAGCCTTTAACCTCTCAATTACCTCATTCAAGTCCCAAACTTCTAATAAATTATTAAATTTGGACTGAGAGTTAAAGTTTAGAACAAATAACAGCATAAAGCACATGATCTCAATCATAAGGTGGCCCAAACTGACCATGAGCGTTGGCTCAATTGGTCATGCTCCTACCTTTAAAGTGAGGTGCCACAGATATGAGATTCAATCTCAGCCATCGCAACCCATTCTATTTTTCTCAGGTTGGGACCTCTTTGTATAAAAATTGGCCTAAACTGTATCAGCTACATCAACTTATCTGGAGGTCAAGCCAGATAAAACACTTGAAAGATGGGCTCTAGAATCAATGCCTATGGCACTCTTGAAAGATTACTGTCTATAGCAGGTGCAGAATTAACTTTGTATACATAAAATAAGAGACAGAGATATAGACAATGAGGAAAGGAGAGAGGGTTTCAAGGATTATGCCAATCTCGGATTCATTAAGGGCTATGCACAACTGAGAAGACAGAGAAAAATCAAACAAGCATAGCATGCAAATAAGACAATGTAAATAACAGTTAAATTAAGGACCATACAGGAAGTTCAAAAGACAGTGGATTACCAGGAAAGCATAGCATGGAAATAATGCAATGGAAAAACTTTAATGATTTACTGACCTTAATCTTTGCCAACATTAACTTGAACCTATCAAAATCATTAAGTGATGTTCGTCTTTTCTGCACGATCAGTTTCCTGCCCCATGAACTGTTCTCCCACTTGTTCTTCACATCTGGACCATTATAAAGCAAGTTTCATACAATATTAAGAAAACAAATACCACCCATTTCGTTTCAAAGTTTAAAGATTTAGCACTCACCAGCTTTCTCCATAGCATCAATCAAAGTCTTCTTCTTAGGAACCCTATTGATATCAATCTTGATATCAGTCAGAGTTAGCCTTTTCAAGTTCATTTGGCTTCTCACCATATCCGGTGCATCAACAAGAGCCTACATCACATTAACAAAGCCATTCCTATAGCTTATTTTCATAATAATAATAATAATAATAATAATAATAATTTCAAGCACACTTTTGTTAACAAACCTAAATCTCAGCTAAATTGAAGAGTATTTAAAACCCATCAACACCCAAAGAAAAGGCAAAAAAAAAAAAAAATGTAATGTATACCCTGTTTTGATCAACGACGTCGACAATGACAACGAGCTTGCCATAGTCCTTGCCGTAGTTAACCAGAGCCACTCTTCCAATCTCCACGTACCTCTTGAACGGCTACAAAAACAAAAAAAAAATCAAACATATAATTATAGTATTAATATTATTATATATGCATATGAAAATCTTTTTTTTTTGCTCTTTTTGTTGTTGGATCTCTGAGAAAATCAAGAAGAGATGTAAAAAAAAGTAATGGGGTTTTCTTTCTATAGGAAATTTACCATATTGAGAGATCTGGTGAAGGAAGAGCTACGGCTACGGAGGGGTGAGTTAGGGTTTCTGAAGACCACCAAACCAGACTCACTAAAATACCTTCAACCCCCTAGGGTTTTAGTGTCCTCTTTCATTTACCATTGGGCCCGAAGGGTAGGTTTTCTTTGTTTCGGGCCAATTCTTTTTATTCCTTATTGGGCTTTTTAGTTTGCTTCTGGGCTTCATCTTTTGAATATGACGACTGATTAACATTTTGTGTAATTTTTTTTTATAAAAAAAATTTCGAGATAGATTATTTAATTTTTTAAATTAAAATAAAATATGTTATATTTGATAATTTAATATATATAATTGCGTATTTAAAATGATTTAATAAATACTCATCAATAAAATTTAAACTAAAAAATTATTCGACGAGGACGAACTTAATCAATTAAACCAATTATTCGTCGGTGATTTTGTGTAATTTGATCCCTGCGCTACTGCGTGTGCATAACCCAGAAAGATTCTGAAACTTCGAATTTCACCGTTAACATATATATAAAAGAAAAAAAAAATAACAATCGCCATTGATGCACTACCACAATGCATCAAAAGAACAGAAAAAATTAGCCCCAATATCTAATCTTTTCTTTTCTCTCATCTTTATATTTTATCCGGGACCAAATGGAGTAGACAGACCCAAAATCAACACCTTTTTTTTATGTCTTTGGTATAAGATACTGATTCCTTTTCACCCGAATATGGAAGAAGAATAAACATATAAGAGATGAAAGAAAGTATGAATTTTCCACAGTCAATGTCGAGACTTTTGGTGATTCCCATCAGATAATTCTTGGTGATTTCGACAGCCGGTTCCTGCCTTCTTCCAAGTGTTTGGGGTTTTTAATTTTGAAGGAATTTTGGGCTTTTGGCCGCGTGACAGAGAAAGGGTTAACGGTGAGGTGCAGTTAGAGGGGAGTTAAGGCTGACAAAATCATTTAAACACATGTCAAAACATCTCGTAAGTTGTAGCCACTTGGCTAGTGCCCGACAACAGTTTACCGTTTAAAAGTTAAAATAAAGAAGCCCATTTCTGCCTCGTCTCCAACAAAAAAGAAGGAAAAAAAGAAGCTTCGTTGGAGGAAATTTTGTAGGATATCCAGTCCGTTGCCAGCAAAAAGTTGGCCTTTCTATTTGAATTCATCGCTCTACGGGTAAGCTTTAAAATAAATACTAAGAAAATGTAAAGATGCAAATTTTGAATGTATCTCTTATTTAGAATTTTCTGCTTTGGTTTCCTTGTAATTTGCATTTGGATCTTCCATGATAGGGGGTGAGAGGGAGAGTTTGTCCAAAAGAGGTGATGGATTGTTTTGAATTTTGAGGAATATTTGAATCTACCATTGATGGTCTGATGATGATTCAAAGGAGAGGTTTCTGGGTTTTTAAGGAAATGAATCAATGAACTGATCTGATATTCAAATGTTGAAGTCTTGAATTATTTAAGGATGCCAATTTTTTTTTGTCTTTCTTTTCTTGTGATGATGTTTTTCATCATTTCCTTCTTTCTATTTGTCCGTAGCAATGATTTAAATGATTGTATTCACAGTTTCCTATGTATTCTTGAGTATTGTTAAATGTCTTTAGTTTGATTGTGTTTAATGGGCAGTAAATGATTAGCGTCTCTTGCTTAGATGGTTGGTTGTCCTGCAATACAAGTGATGTTTGGTAGAAATGCAGGAACAGAGGAGTTGGAGGCCTTCTATCCCATAAGACCAGGATGCATAGCCAATACACCAAAGACCCGCTTTAGGCCCAGGGTGTGCATCTTTTACTCACACTTCTTTTACTCAAGTTTCAGTGCAATTCTGTTTGGATGCCTAGCATTTTACCAGACATATACCATTTTATTGGTCATGCACTAGCAATACTTATCTATTTTCTCAGGCGGGGAAAACTCTCAGTGCAAGAAGATGACATGCTGCATTCTCTGAAGATGCGTTCACCTGGATATAGCAAAAGTTCTTAAATGGATCCAAAGAGGGGTATGCTTCTTTCTAGTTCTATTTATAATTATGTTGCTTGACTACATATATATTTATATTTGCAATTTGAACCAAAGAACTGACAGAGAATATTGGACATCGAAATAGGAGTAAGTTTAGCTTTTTAGATGTTGGATAGCATGATCATTTGATTACTAATTTAAGATAAACCCCAAGCTAGAGATAAGATTTCTAGGAAGTGACTCGTTCAGTCATAACTCATAACTTTAAAGTCTTTAATGAAACTCTGGAATTTTGTTCAATATGAGTTTCCCTCTATGAGGCCTATGACCCAAATAAAATCAGTATCATATTTCTTTAAACTTGTGAAAAACCTAAGGAAGTTATGGAGAACTAAATTTGCTCAGGTCAATGCAAAGTAAAGCTGGTATAGATTTACTCTTGCATCATATATTAGCATATGTGTGGGCCAAATTTAATGGCGTTCAAGACAAAAATATACTAATGTTAAACATTAAGATTTTAAATTTATGTTCAGCTCCAACTTACAAATTATAAAGGATTAGAATTGCAATCTTATTACTCTCCCTCTCTTTCCCAATCCCATAACAGTCATATGTCTACTTGAATGCATTTACATGTGTTTATGCCCATGCAGTTTTGTCTCTTTTTCATGATTGTTATTCAACTGAGGTTCTGCTATTTGTCATTTTGGAGTCATTAACCATCAGAACCACCTGTGTAATAACTTATATCTACTTGTGTCTATTTACACTAGTGTGGTTTGCATATACTTATCTATTTAATATCTGTCTAAAGTTAGAACAACTTATCAAATATCAAGAATTTATTATTATTAATTTTATTTGATTTGTTATAGTAGGGTATTCACCCTTCAATCAAACGGGTAGTCTGAGAGTTCCTGTTAGGTTGCTTTGATCCTAACAGTAGCTTTGAGGATCAGAATCAGCTTAGACGGCAAAGGAGGGAACAACTACACATTTCGATTCAATATGTCGAACTAGGAAATCAATTTTAGTATCTCAACAAGTATAAATTATTCATGATTTCATGTGTCCTTTCTTTTTCTCACTTCTAAATTTAGTAGCACTCCATATTGACCTGATTAAAGTTTTATAGCTCTGGAACTGTTAATTGGGTCCTAAAGTGCCGAATTAACATGGTATGTACATTCTATGAATATTTATGTCGTCCTTTCCATTGATTATGTTCTATTCGAGGTCATTTTGTTTCTGAAGATGCATTTTGGTAGTTAGCCATGTTCAAGTATGACTTTATGTTGATTTTGGTAATTTTATTGTGACCATTTTGTTTTTTTCATCCATAATGCTGATTTTTTTCTTTCTCTTATCATCCATGTTTTACTTTTCCTAAGTTGGAAATTGTGACAATTTATCACACTAACCATCCCAAGGAGAGGTATGGCATGTGAAAGACTGAATGTCAGAATATGGTGCCTGTCATTGGGAGTGGAAAGTTCATTACAACACCAATTATCACTGATGATGGCCAAACAATAGATGTTCAAGGTTGCCATGTGACAGGTGCTGTTTCAGACAAGAAAGCGGCTCAGTGGATGCTTACCTTGCATCAAATCTGTATGCATGGTGTATAATTTCTTGCTCAACTAATTGGATCTTCCATATACTTTTGTTTACTCTTGAGGTACTGCTCAATCTCTTTAGTACTTATATTACAGCAATAAGTTCAGTAGATATACTTTAAGGCTTCTGGCCTGTCTCATACTTGATTATAACCTTTTCTTTTTAGGATACAATTCTTATGGCCTTGAAACTTGTAAAATTCTACCATAGGTGCTTATTGATATTCTATGTTGTAAGCTGTGTTAATCTAAGAAAATTCCTATTTCAAAAAGCATTCTTGTTATAAAGGGCTTCATTTGTGGTTTTAGATCATCTATGTATCTATCTGATAATTATAATTGTAGCTTTGTTTAAATTTCAGTGATCTTTAACGTACTTGATCTATTTGGCTTGTAGGTTTGGATGTTATTGAATTGATCAAGTGCTTACCTTTTATGAGAATGAAACTAATCAGGCAAAACTTTGGGATATTCTTTCTATATATTCAGGGGTAGATGATGATATTGGTTATGTTCAGGGTGAGTAGCAGCTGTTGATTGCATTATTTATTACCAAGCTGAAGCTTTTTTTGTTCTCCAACACTTTGGGCTTATTCTTTGATGACCGGAATGAATGACATATGCTATCCAATTGTAATTCTTCTTGAAAATGAAGTAGACGCATTTTGCTGGTTTGAGCGTGCAATGCGAAGAATGGTATAATTTTGCTTGAACTGCTTCAGATTGTTGTTCTATATGATGATTTTAAATGTATATTCATGAAAGGGGTAGATGATGATATTGGTTATGTTCAGGGTGAGTAGCAGCTGTTGATTGCATTATTTATTACCAAGCTGAAGCTTTTTTTGTTCTCCAACACTTTGGGCTTATTCTTTGATGACCGGAATGAATGACATATGCTATCCAATTGTAATTCTTCTTGAAAATGAAGCAGACGCATTTTGCTGGTTTGAGCATGCAATGCGAAGAATGGTATAATTTTGCTTGAACTGCTTCAGATTGTTGTTCTATATGATGATTTTAAATGTATATTCATGAAAGGATAATCCATTAAGTCAAATACAATATTAGCAATTTTCTTTCAAAGGGAAGATTCATTTAAAGTTCGTGTCTTTAATAATTCATTATAAGATGATACTTATGGTATAAAATGCATACAATATTTTATGGGGGGAGATTCATGTGAACTTTGGCTTTCATTCATGTTTACATCTCCAAAAGTGCAAGACTTCTGATTTTGTTTTTGTAACAGAGGGAAAACTTTAGCTGCAATACAACTTCAATAGGAGTGAAATCCCAGCTTGGTACACTTTCACAGGTAATTAAAACTGTTGTCCCTAAGCTTCATCAACGCCTTGGTCTGTGTTCCTTTGCCCCATTATTTTTCTAAATTAGTTCTCTTTACCGATTTACTCCTTGTTATCGTTGACCTTGTTTAGTTTAAACTTATCCTGATAATTTACACCATTAGAAAAAGCTAGCTACCAGAATCAGTTGTTAAATATTTAAGTACCAATATTAGATATGTAGGGGGATCCTATCAAACTGTTTTTATGCCATTTGAAACTTGAGATCCTGACTACAGTCTAAAACTTGGTACTTATTCCCGATCAAGATAAAAAAAAAAGAAAGAGAATTAGCAAAAAAAGATGCAGCCAATGCCTTTCATGGACATCAATAGTACCCAAAACACAACACTTTGCTTTTTTGCTTTCTTTTTCTTACCATCTTCATAGTCTTATAATTTTATCTTGTTCAACCAAAATCTCATTTAATTTGTATGGTGGGGAGTATTTGTTTGCATTTCACATGCTAATGGTACTTTACCGGAGAGAGTTCTACTTGATCCATGCATTGTATCTTTGGGATGTGAGAGGAAAGAGCCCTATTAATTTGAGTTTTAACTAGAAATGGGCTATATTTTTATATCTAGGAAAGCCATTGTCACAGCTTTAACAGAATTTAAGGTTTCAGAACTTGTGTTGCTTTATTGGGAGTTCCAGTTTCTTTATATATGTTTATTCCAAGACAGAGACCGGTTCCAGGTAATGTGGGCGATGGAGTACAACCCTAATATCTTCTTGTCGTAGGAGATGCCAAGTGCAACTTCAGATAGTGGCAGTGCACAAACATTAGATCAAAAGCTGCTAAAGCAATACCGTAAATTTGAAAGAAAAAATGTACTTGCGGAGAAAAACAGTGTACTCGCGGTTTTCCTTGTTGCAAGTGTTCTTGAAACCAAGAATAAGCAGATTCTAAAGGAGGCTAAGGGTTTGGAGATGTTGTCACGGTACTCTCTCTCTTTTGTGCACATAAATCTTCGTGTTGATGCAGCAGTTCTCTGATCATGGATGTCTTTTTCTAGATATTGGGTGATATTACTGGAAATTTGGATGCTAAGAAAGCATGAAAAGAGGCATTGAAGATTCAAAACAAGTACTTGAGAAAGATAGGCTATATTTATATCAACATAGTTAGAGGGGTAGACTGATTATACATTGTGTTTTTACATGCAGGCCAAGAAGCCATAGCTGCAGATCAAATTCTATACTTAAAGATTTTTGTATCCATTTTTTTTTTTTTTGAGTTTTCCATGTGTTTCTCTTTCCACCTTGTTCATATATATTTATTGATGCCATTTTTGAAAACTGAAATTCTTTTGTGTATAAGATTTTGATGGGATGATTGTGACTATGAACTTTCGTTGTTAAATTTTTATCCTTAGAGAAGTGAAAATTAAATAATAAAAGTATCAATCAAAGCGGGAATTTTATTTTTTTTTTTTTTTTTTTTTCCTACCTTACAGGCTTACACCATATAGCAATAAAAAACGGTGATAATTATAAATTTATAACAGTGCTCTTTGCCAAGGAGAAGCTTTAGATATATTAATTTCAGAGGAAATGGTTTTTTTATCTCATTAATAAGCAACAAATATATATATATATATATAAATAAATAAATAAATGGAGGAAGCTTAATTTTCATCAATCAAGTCTTTTTTTTTTATAAAGAATTCGTATTTTCAGAATAAGAAAAAGAGTTACAAATATTGATATTTGAATTCTTAATTTATTGAATATTATTTTTTAAAAATTAAATTAATTAAATTAAAGTTATATTTGAATAAATAATAAAATTGATTGCGGTGAGATTAAAAATAAAATATAAATTACTATAATTACGATTGAAAAAAATTATTATAGATGCGATTAATTTCAAACATGTATTAAATTTCGAATTTTAAACTATCTTTTTTGATGAAAAGAAAAACAAATTTATGAATCGAAGATGCTGGACGTACAAAAGCATACTTTTTCTCCTATCTTAAGCTGGCCAAATTTATGAACCAAAAAAACTCCTAGATTGCGCTCTTTATAGCAGGCCAGCTTGCTTCTTTGATGAATACAAATTTCATTTATGCCCAAAAAAAAAAAAAAAACACAATAATTTATATTGTCTCACTAAATGGGACAATTTGTTAAAACCTTCCTAAATTTAGTATTACAAAAATTTTTAAAAAAAAATCTCTTCTGATTTTTATACCTAAATTTTCGATAAGTTCATGGTGTAGATTAACTAGTCCTTAACTATGAATGATGCATTGCCATTGAATTAACGCAAGTTTTGCTTACAACAGAATTTGCCTTCCTAATTCTTACCTTTTCTTCTCACCACAATCCTAATCACACTTTTGTCAAAAACAGTTTAATGTTTTTGATCCAATATTGTTTTTTCTTTTTTCTTTTTTTATGAATTTCATCTTTTCTTCCATCTTCAGCTGGTTCAAGGAACAAAGTTAACTCTTCTTTTTTCTTTGAATTTAAAATTCTTTCATATGTTGGGTGCATGAGTTGATGCAATTTTTGCTTCACACAATGTTTTCTTCTCTTTGAAGGTGAGATATTTTCATCAATTTTCACAAGGGAACACAAAAAAAAAAAGAATTTAGCAGAACAAATGTTTCAATGCTAAGAGAAACTCTAGTTTTTTCTTTTGGTTTCAGATTCAGATTTGAAGTTTGACTTATTCAACCTTCATCTCAGAAGCTTAATGAAAATTAAGAGGCTGCTTTAGTTTAGATCAAAGCCGAATTATCAAACCAAGATGTCATCGAACAATAAGATGAAGGGCCTGCTAAAAGGCCTTAGATACATTTCTCAAATATTTGGTATGTAATTCCATCTCCTTGGTCTTTTCACACTGCAGATTCTTTTATCCACTTTAAGACATAAGAGGCAGAAACTTGCCAGAATTTGGGAGATGCTTCAATTCTTTGGAAAAAAACTTTCCAAATTTTAGCCAAAAATGAGTCTTGCAATAGTTAGTTTGAAAAACAAAGAAAACACCACAAGAATTATGCAAGCCACCATATTTAGATGGATTGCTTTGGTTTTTCTTGCTCATAATAACAAAATGCTCCAACTTTTTGCAGATAATGAAAAAGAGCCTGAAATGCAGATTGGTTTGCCAACAGATGTAAAGCATGTGGCCCATATAGGATGGGATGGCCCATCTGTAAATTCTGCACCCAGCTGGGTAAAATTTAACTACTACTATTACCATGATTATATTAAAAGTTTTCATCTTGTTATAGTCACAAACATGATCCATATTGGAGTATATTCTGGCTTTTGTTTTATATACAGATGAATGAGTTTAAATCACCACCAGGACTTTCATCAGCACCTTTAGCTAATGGAGGAGAAGTTAGGGAGGAAGATCCTGTCAAATGGGTCTCTCAAGGTACCCATATGTTGTTTATCCAACCTTAAGCTGAAGAATTTTCTGCATTATTTGATTCATTTCTCAATTTTTGGTACATGAGTTTTATGCATCACTGTTTTGATAATTAATATTAATTGGTATAATTTAACAGATGGGAGCTGCCGAAAAGGTTCACGGCGTCAAAGTTCTTCATCCAGAGACATGCCAGAACTGCCTAAATCTTCAAAGCGCAGTTCATCAACGGATGGAAATGTTACAGACGAGTCTTCAATGAAGGAAAAGCCAGATAAACCTAGGCAATCAAGGAAGCCTTCCAAGAACTCTTCTTCCAAGGATAGAAAACCCAAGGATCCAAACCAAGCAACTGACTCAACCTCACAAGACCTCCCTGGCCTCCCAAAGAAAAGTGGTCGGCGGAAAAAGTCCAAAGACTCCTCTGTTGACGGATCCTCCAGGCGGCACAGAACCCAGGACTTCGATACTGGATCCGAGTCAGGGTCTGTATCTGGCGCCCTAGAGGAACGACGTAGTAATGCTTCAGGTTTTGAAGAAAGGGAAGGTACCTGAGAAAATTATTGTTTTTGGTTGGTAAACATTGGCACTACTAGCTAGACTCTTTTGCTTTAGTGGAAACCAAGAAGAGTTACATACTTTTTTTTTTGTTTATTTTCCCACCTCAGGGAAACCTTGTATGATCAAAGATCCATTGGAATTAATTGTTGAAACTTGGAACTGATTCTGTGATTCAGGTTTCAATGAAGGAAAAGTTTCATTGCGGGATATTAATTTTTTTCATGGTGCATGCATCAATTACTCCGTAATTTTTATATTGTGTTGAGCCTTCATGAATCATGATTAATGCTCTTAAACAACAGCTTTTTCTCGAGAGTTGCATCAAGTCATGACAAAAATATCGATGCTTTCTCTAAGTATGTCTTAATGGCTGAGCCAGAATCTGGTTAGCTTACTACTTTATTCCTGCTTGCGTTGCATCACAAGAAAAACGAAACTAGGTTGCTCCTGATAATATCTACTTTCCCTCAAAACTAAAACTAAATTGAAGAGAAGGGTTAGCTGAAGGATTGAAGCAAATCTAACACCAAAAACTAGTTGGCAAAATGCCAAAAAAAAAAATTTTTCCCTAAAAATCAAATAAATAGGCAAGCTGATCCATAGTTAAACAATTTCCTGTCTAAAATAAAATGGAAAACTGATGAATATTTGAAACCAAAATGGTAAAAGGTGGTCATTTTCACTTTGCACAAAATAGATACTTCTACTCATCAGTAGTATATATATCCTGACTCACTGTAGTATATATATCCTGACTCATTTCTATCAGACTATCAGTTACCACAATAGGAGCATCTCCAGATACGAATTGTTTTTTGTTTAAAAAAAATGCTGGTGAAGTGGATAATTAGCAACAAAACAATAATATAACTACTTGTCATTGATTCGTTGACCAAAACCAAACAGAAAAACAAAAGTAATTACATCATTTTAACCACTGCAGTACAGTGCCAACAAACGCCCAAAAATTCCTATTAACGAGTCAGTATTAACTTGTTTCTGTAAGATCTATCAGTATTTTTCCTTGCTCTTTGATGATAAACAATCAAAACAAAACCATCAAAAACCCCCAAAACAGAAACAAAACATGAAAAGAAGATGATAACAGACCAGAATAAGAACCACCAATGAAGAGGACAGGATTGGGAATGTCTGGCTTGCTGCATTTCTTCAATTCTCCAAAGCTGCCGTGAATGCTTTTACCATGGCTCAATTTCTCATCAACACACAGTTCTGGATTACCTTTTAACCTTAACTTTTCACCAACCTTAGCAGTAAATTTAGCAGAGAAAGGAACTCTTCCACTCAGATTGTTGTTTTCCAAATTGATTTCACTTACAAATTCCAAGAACCCAAACTCCTCAGGCACTTTCCCTTCAAGATTGTTATTATCGAGTACTAAATAACACAAGTTTGTCAAATGCACCCCCATGGAAGCTGGAATTCCCCCAACCAATCCCATACCAGAAAATCCTATCCCCAGAATACCCCCTAGCTTTTCCCATATTTCTGGTATCTCCCCTCCTAGTAAATTTCCACTCAAATACACCTCCTTCAATCTGGGCATTTCAGCAAAAAACAAAGGAATCCCAAAGTTACCGAAACGGTTAAAACTCAAATCCAAGAACTCCAAACCCTGTAAGTTACTCAAGCTCTCTGGGATTTTACCAGAAAACCCATTTGAACTCAAGTCTAGCTTCAAAAGCTGAGTGAGATTACCAACTGAACAAGGGACATTTCCATCAACATCGTTTCCACTTAAGTCCAGAACTTTCAGTTTCTTCAACTCAGAAAAATTAACGGAAACCTGTCCACTAAGCTTGTTTCTTGATAGTGTAATCTCTTCAACGTTAACCAAATCACCAATCCCATCTGGGATACTCCCATAAATTCCATTTCCAGTCAAAACCAGCCTCCTCAAACTTGTGAAATTTCGAATGATGCCACTGAGAGGACCAACAAAAGCTGGGTTATTTATAAAGACAAGCTCTTCAAGAGAGGACCCGAAAGTTGTGGGAATCTCAGGAACATAAACTTGGCTTTCGATGAAGCATTGGTAGAAGAAAAGCTTGCGTAGATGTTTGAAGGAATTGAAGAGGAGAGGGCTGAAAGTGGAGTTTGGGGAGCAAGGAGGGTTTGGTGCATAATCCGAAACGTAGCCGAAACTCAGTTCTGTGATGTGAACGGTTACGTTGTTCGTGGTGGGGTCGGTGAAATAATCACAAACGACGCCATGTGGAGGGTAGGAACAGAGGTCGTCAGGGAAGAGAGTGCGCCAGGGGATGGCTGAGTTGATGGAGGAGAGAACTTGGTAAACTGAGTCCTGCTCAGCCAAGTTGAGCACAGGTTGCTCCTGTTGCAATGAAATAGTAACTAGAATGGGCATGACAGTGGAGAAAAAGATGAGCTTGAAAATGGAAAGAAAAGCCATTTTTTTCTTGGTTTAGTGGTTTTCTTGAGAGTGAAAAGGGAAGAGAAAACCACAATTGTGTTGGAAGTGTTAGGTAGGGATCAAAGCAGAGATATGGTGATTTTCTTTTGCTTTGCTGGTTCTTGCCGCTTGGTTGTAACATGCAGATATTGTGAATGGACTTGCCACCTTTGGACTTCAGTGTAGACTGGCTCTGCCAAGACGACCTAACTCTGCGCCTCTGACCAATCCAACTTCAAAATTTCTTCCTTATCTTTTGTAACTTGAACCAATATGCTTGGATAAACGAAAGAGCAAAGGAAAACTAAAGAGAGGAGAAAATCAGGGAGAAGAGTTTCTTTTTTTTTTTTCTCGGCGACCAATGAAGTTTGAATCCTATTTCTGTATATCTTCACCAATTGTCTGTAAAAACACACAAATGTTTGGACTTTGGCACCAGAATCGATCATCTAATTGGCCAGACCAGAGATTTAATATAGTACATGTTTTAACTTTTAAGCCCTCCATAAACTACGAACACTTGAGCTCACCATCTAACCACTCAGAAGCACTAACGTAAATCAAAGCGTTCGAGCTTTAAGCCTTAACTCATCAAGAAAAAGGCTGGAGCTTCGGTTTTAACTTCGGTAACAGTGAAAAGGAAAAAAAGTCTGACCAAGGAGTAGCGACAGAAAAACCTGCGGAACAAATATAGCCGCGGGAAGCCGACAGTGACGCGCCGCAGCCGCCGACTTACTGTCCCAATGTCCCATGAAAGCGACATTTAACTGACGAGGAAAGAGACATGTCTTTGCAACGTGTCGGCATTATAGTGGTGAAATCAAAAGTGTCTTTTCTATGGAAGATTGTTTCCAGAAATGACCGTGCATGCGAAGTTCATTTCGCGAAACATATGGCTTATAAGATACCGATAATAAGTTAAAATAGTTCAGATCAACTTGCATCAATTATTTTTTTTTAATCTTTAATTTTAATAAATCAATAAAATAAATAAATAAATAATTTTATTTTTTTGATATATTAAAATTAATAGCTAAAAATATAAAATTAAATATTTTATATTAATATAAGTTAATCTCTTCTTATTTAAAATTATATAATATCTAATATCAAAACATAATCAAAATATTTTTTTGAATGACATCAATTATTTAATTGTAACACATGTTTATTTTCTTTTATTTCATTCTTATTTTTTATTATTTAATGGTAAATACTCTTATTATTTTTTATATTTTACATGTATTTTAATATATATTATTTTTCATATAAATATCATGAAACATCAATTTTACAAAAAAGCAAAAAAAAAAATTTAAATTACACTAAACTTAAAACTTTTTTTCTAAACTCTAAAATAGGACATACAAAAATGGATTGAAAGAGCATTTATCTTTCACAATACATAAATATATGAATATAAAATTTTTATACATGATCTTTACATAACAATAATATCATTAAAAAAAATTAAGTTAAATTAATAACAAAAAAAGTTAAACAATATAAAGATATTCTTTCAAAACTATCATGACAAGTTTTTATAATCTAAAACTATTATATAATTGCTTTATTATCAACATTATCAAATGTATTTTTTAATATATGTAATTAAATTATCATTTATTAAATTATATCTCTTTCATATATGTAACATTTTTTTATTATATTTATTTTTAAAAACGTTTTTTGTATACTTACAATCACAATTCGAGTTTTAATAGATAAATGATATTTTTTTAGTTAAATGTTTTAAAAGACAAAATAAACGTGATTTTTAACTTTTACTAATTATAAATTGATCCTCAAAATTTTTTATATAATATATTGGCTCTTCAAATTCATTTTTAATGTGTCAATTGGTAAATTACCTAATATTATACCCAAAAAAAAATGTTAAATTTTAACGGATCAAATAACCCCACTAATTTGGTTTTGCCTACACCCTTGGTTCAATAGGAAGCTTATAGTTATAGGTGATAGACCTCAACATAATTATTTATCTTGAATAATAATTAGAAAATTATAATAAAAAATGAAAAATGAAATGTTACTTAATTTCGGTACAATTCGCTTTAGGTCTTGCTTAGTATGGGATCCATTTATTGGGTTTTTTAACTTAGAACACAAATTTGCCTTCGTTTTTTTTTTTTTTTTTGAGCTTACGGTTATTTAGTATTCATTTAAATTTTATCGTATTTTCTATACGATATGATTAAATTTATTATATCATTAGTTAATTTTAAATATTAATTTTAATAAAATTCATTTAATATAAATTTTTTATTATATTTTTTTAATGACAATTATAATAATAATAATTATTTTTTTAACTTCATCATAATTAATTTTATCGTAGATTCAAATAGAATCTTAAACTCAGAAGACTGGGAAAGTGAAAATATGTTGAAGCTTATCGGTAGTTGAAAGAAACAATTAAATGTAAAACTGCTCTCCATTATTTATGATGTTTGCCCTAATTATATATTAGATGTATCTAAGTAATAATTTTTTGAATACTAGTATTATTATACGGACAATATCAAGATTTGAAAAATTACATCACTCAATTATTATTATTATTATTATTATTATTATTATTATTATACAATCAAACAATTTAGAGCATTTTCACCGAACAAAAAAATCTAATAGAGAAAAAAAATAAAAGCAGAAATCAAGTTATTATATGATAATAATCATATGATGTGTTGATAAAAATATTAAAATTTTAATTTTAATGATCAAACTCAATCACAACAACTGTAACTAAAAAAATCAAATTAAATTTATATATAAGGAAAAAAAAAACAGAATTCAAAATATTATTAAATATATTATGTTAAAAGGATCAACACTAATTGAAGCTGCTGTGAAGTCCATGCCATGGATACAGGGCCAAGGCCACAAATTTTACCAATTTTCCACCGAATTCTCTTTCATTCTAGCGTTGACTATTGAATATGTTGCACGGCGTTGACCTTGTGCAAAAAACGCCGTAATCACTGGAATAAATTCTTTTTTCCTTTCTTTGTTTCAATCAAAAGTGTTGAGTTTTGGCGGGCGCCGCCCAACGTC